GTTTCGTTTTGTTTTTCCATCGAGCTTCGTGAGTACATCTCTTTCTCTAACTATAGCAAGAAGTTCCGTATTCCGTTCTGCATCTGTCCAAACCGACCGTTTAACGATTCCATATTTTTTTCTAGAAATAAATTTTTTTTTTCAATAATGAAAGACAGCTGTTTGTAAGGTGTGGCGTTGCCGGACTTCTACTTCTCGAATTCATGAAATTATGCCGAATTCATGGTCAACTTTCGTGTATAACTGAATTCATGAATTTGTGTTTATGCAGCCAATTTTAACCCAAATTCATGAAATGATTTTGTGAATTTGACTACGCATAAACGTAGTAATATAGATAATTTGATATCATTCGAAAAATTTCGCTTGCAGTAGTTTCTACGTGGTAAGTGCTCCTCCATTATTTGGTTTCATAGGGATTCGGATAACTTCCTCATTGAAGTAATAAAGAAAATTCACTTAAGTGCTTTTTTCGGTTAACCGCGCAAGATTTTCGTGCAAAGGATGGGCAGCTAAGCAAAATATACTGTATATTAAAAGTATAAAATACGCACGTGAACATTGAAATATATCACACAAAATATAAGTGATAAGTGACATTTTGTACAAAAAATTGGGGGTGGTAGTGAAGATTATTTAACAACAAATTACTTAAATACTATTAGCAAAGAACGTTATCTACGTTCTATTAGCACTACTTTGTGAGAGTGATCAATTCATGTAGCCTCCCCCAATATCCTCACCAATTTTCTTGACGAAATTCATTATACTTTCGCCAACCCAGAATCGATATTTCTACTCGAGTAATTCGCTAAAAGCATCGATACCAAAAATACTCGGAAAGAAACAAAAAGTATGGATATTATCGTACTTGTGAGCAATGTTGCCGTTTTATTCCATATACTTCAAAAATGATACGTGTTTGTGCAAATTTTCGGAAGATACTTCACATTTTTCGCTCATTTCGCGAGGTACTTACACAAATTTACAAATTACAAATTTTGATACATGTTAAAGAGAAAATATTTATGTAAGTATGACAACTCGTTATAATTGTGACGAAAAGTGCGCAAAAGGGGCGTGCCTTTTCTTTTGCCCTAGTGCGTTTTTTGATTGGATGAAAAGAGAAGGCACGCCCCTGTTGCGCACTTTTCGCCACAATTATAACGAGTTGTCCCTTCTTGTTATCTACGTTCTTTGACAGTAGTAGAGTAGGCAATAATATAGTTGATTTTTTTTTTTTATTTTTTCTCAGTATACACATTTTGTGTCCTCAATAAGGTATTTTATCTTATCTTCATTTCATTACGAATATACTATAAAAAATCAATTTTTTTTTTTTAAAGAAAAGAAAATAAAAAAGATAGGGATTAATTTCTTCCCGTTTTCTTCTTATTCTACTGAGCTAAAGGCCGGTCCACATAGAACTTTCGCATTGGCTTTGGCGTTGGCGTTAAGAGCGAAATACACCACACAAGCGGCTTGTCAAACATTCTTCAAACCTACTTTTCCCATTTCGCCATACACCATGCAAACATGACTCGTTCAAGCAAAGAATTTTAGTTTTCTTCCAGTTCGCAATGCTAAATATTATGGTTTTCTTTCATTTTCCTCTCTTACGTCCTTACTCGGTGAAAATTTCGTTGCGAATGAGGCGATTTTGCTATACACAACGCAAGCGGTTTGATCAAACATCAACATGGCGGCCAGAAAATCAAAAAATTTTGATTTTTGCTCAAATTTCCCTCAAGCGGTTTGTCAAACCTTCAAACACCCCCATACACAGCACAAATGGCTTGAAGCAAAGGGAAATTTCGCTTGGTTTGTCAAACCGCTTGTGTGGTGTATTTCGCTCTTTAGTTTGACAGAACGCACGTTTAAAATATGCTTGCTACAATGAACGCTTGACAGCGAATGCTTGGGCCACTAAATTAACATACTAACGACAGATAAATTAATATTTCATATCAATAATTGCATTAAAAACGATATTTCTTGCCCGCACTTGAATAAAAAGGAAAAATATTTCACATAATTTTATTTGTTTGCAACAGCTGACAAGCGACGCACGCGAAAAGTTGAGAGTTGGTCATCTTTTTGCTTTGTGTTGGCGTGAGCGTCACAGTATATACAGTAATAAACCTTTTCGCATTTTTTCACCATTTGGTCCCCGATGAGTACTTTTGGGTTGTGTGCAGCGTGTTGGTTTTGCGCGCACGGCAACACTTACTGTGGGGAATTTCGTATCACGATTAGAAAAAGCACATTTCGAGGATAAAATATACACAACTATGTGTTATTTATAAACAAAATGTAGGTTTAAGGCTGTGTGTGAGTACGTCTAAATTGCTACCTAAATAGAGAAAAATCCTAAATCACTGGAAAGTGTCGGTAACGCAGTGAATAGGAGCAATTTAGATCTTCTGCGAGCATACTTTTCAACCTAAATTAAACAGTCAAATATATTTGAGCGAGCGATTAAGTGTACAACGATTTTTTGATGTTTTAAATAATTTTTATCATTGCTATGGCACAAACAAGAAAATATTCAGAAAGATGTAAGTATAAATTTATTTGATTTTTGCATTCAGATAAGTATAAGTGTAATTCGATGGATGTATATTACTTCGCAGGGTCAGAAGAGCAAACGGATTATTTTATAGATGCCAGCATGGATCCTTTTCTGTTGCAAATTTATTATATTGTTAAATAGTTCCAAAGCTACCGCAAAATTATTCATTTTATAGATATATTTATTAAAAGCAACAATTCCAAAACAAACCATTTAGGTTGTCGAACGAACTCGCACAGTTTTAGCAGCTGTTTTCCTAAATGTAGCATTGCTGGAAATTCCCAGTGGAATATTAGTTTAGGTACTAAAGTTTAGGTAAACTCGCACACAGCCTAAGTATAATATTCATCTTTAATGTATGCTGATATTCATGCGTAATGAAGAATAATATCAATAGTTAAGTACATAAATAACGCTTGTGTTTTATAAACTGGAAAACTCAAATCGTAATTATGGCATTGAATGGAGTTTTCTTAAATGTAAGTTTAAAATAAAAAAAGTCCTATGGAAGATTAAATTATTTATGAAAACCGTAAATTTTGTGAATTTATCAAGCCAAATTCTAAATTTCCGAATATATTTAAGTCATTATTTAAAAAAAAAAAACAAGGGTTGTATAGCTATACAGATCCCAATGACTGCCAGCACATCCACCCAGACAGTCCATTAAGCACACCCAAGTTTGAGTGATCTACAAGTTACAAGCGTTTTCAACATTTAACAGTTCATTATCATGTGCGGTGTAATATAACAAATTATACACTGAACTATGATAATCTATACTAGTATCTATAATAATAGACAAAAATTTGCAATGTTTTTACACTTTTGCAATAGTTTCGGGCACTATTACACAGTCATGACTTGTGCCACTCTGCCATAGTACGGTTTTTGCTCCCTTTCATACCAGAATAATTTTGTATACAACTCTGAATCAACAAAATTCATGATCCTTCTCATTATCAGCCCTGATCAGATTTTACCCCCGAGGAGTACTCAAAAAGGTTTATTACTGTGTATACTGTGGTGAGCGTTGTCGAATTTTGGCTATGTCATGATTCAATAATACAAGGTTCGATAAACTGACAGTTGTCTCTCTCGCACCGCTCCCTTAGCAGCGGCACCATGTTGCTTCTTTGCACATTTACATAGAAACAGTGTAGCTTTGTTGTGAAATAGAAGTATGAGCGTTTGTGCAATATGTTTATTTGTATGTGCATATGAAGCATAAATAACTGATGAAAACATAAACTGTTTTTAAATTGGATGTTTACATTAATCTAATAGTAGTCTTATTTTAATTTTGAGGCAGTTTTTATACAGCTAAATAGCACATAAATTACGTAATTCACATAGATACATCAATATTACGTTCAACATTTCGCTTAAAATGCCAGATTTCCTGCAAATGCATTAGAATTTACAAAAGGAATTTCACTACTAATTGTCTACTTTGCGTACGTTTCTACTATCATTTTCGCACCAAGAGATTTCATTCCTCCCCTTTTCTCCGTCCTTCGTAAATGCAACCTTTTGTAAGGGAGTGTCAAACCGCAGCTGTCAATAATTATCTAACCTTGTATTATTGAATCATGGGCTATGTGAACGGCTTCTTCTGCCTGGAAACCGCCTGGCAGCTACCTGGAAAGTACCTGTCAAAATGTATAACTATCCTGCCAAAATGTTAGACAGGGTGTTTAAAGTGATGTAAAAAAGGCAAAAGTTATTAAAATAAAGTAAAAAAAAATTGGCAAAATATGCATTTAGCTAAATGGATTCCTGCATTTATATCAAGGTACATTGAACAGGTAGTATCAGTAGAGCAGCTGATTTGATTTATTTTCAAATTATTTGGTCTCGAAAACGTCAAATATTTTTAATTTTTTCTCACAAAAATTCTGAATTGTTAAAATCCATTTGCATGTGAAACCTTTTTCCATACAAAACAAGCTATTGAATAGCAGCTTTTGGAACGTTCGCCCAACTCGGCAGCACGACCGCTGATTACTGGGTCTTGCAAAGGATGGATAAATGCTTCGAGAAGCAAACAAATTTAATAGGAAAGAAAGCTGCATCAATTTTTATTTTTTCCAATTTCAATTTTTTATTTTTTATAATTTTTTGTATTTCACATGGCACGCTTTGATTTAGAAGAAAAAATTCAGAACAGTTTTTGACACTTTCGATACCAGAAGCAACAACAAAATACACGCAAATGTTGTTTTTGCTCTACTGATACTACCTGTTTAATGTGCCTTGATTTATATGCCATTTTACACTTAATAGAACTTTTTTGCTGTTTTTGTCAGAGTCTGCTTAAAGTTTTTTTATAGATATTAGTGTAGCCCTGTAGCAAATAAAATCAGGTGATCTCAGCTGTGGGGCATATCTGCAAAACATTTGATTCTTTTTTCACTTGTAAGTATGCACAATGTTATATGTTATGTGTTTGTAAACGAATGCTAATTTGCATGCAATATGATAACAGATAAGGATTTCATTTTGACTGTTAAATTGTATCCGGAACTATACAACAAAAATGGGATACCGGAAGAGAAAAAGAAACAACAGCTTTGGGCGCGATTTGCTCAAGAAACTCTACTCAAAAGTGGTAAGTGTTGGGCAAACAAAATACATACATATATACGTACAATATTCGGAAAATAAAGATGTGTCTTTAGCCTCCGCTGCTGAGCATAAATGGCGGCAAATGGTTTCAAAATATGTGTCTTGTTTGGTATACGGCACTCCATTCGCTTACGAAAGGGAAATGCGGTTTATGCAGATGCCATTACTTGGTACTGGGTAAGTCATAATTCGGATATAATAAAAACAAACAATTATTGATATATTTCAACATTTTAGGTCGTCCGAAGATACGCAATCTGACTCCGACATAGATGAACTGGAACTAATAAAAGTTTTAAATTCCTACGAGGATGACCCACCCGCTACTAAAAGGCAACGAGTTGATAAAACCGATGTCAGAATAGAGGAATCAACTGAACATATAAGAATAGAGCACAAAAATAAGGAAGCTGTGCAAATAAAAAATGGCTGTTCCCCCGTTTTAAATTCCAATAGAAAACAATGTAGTGAATTGCAGGATAAAACGGAAGCATTGGCATCGATAGCCTGTAGTAAAACCGAAGCATTGGCATCGATAGACTGTAGTAAAACCGAAGATCAGTTAAATAAAATTGACAAACCAACCTCGAAGGATGATTGCGGTGTACCCCGCCCTCCTAATGGTCAATCATCTGTACTTTATAATATTTCCAATGAAGACAGAAGAATGTCTAGTAGCTTCACTAATTTAACTTCACTAGAACTAATATTTCTTGGTTATGCAAAAGTATTGCAACGAATGCCACTGGGATTGCAGCTGCAGACTAAACGAAAAATAGCTAACGTCATGGATGAAGCCGAACTGAAAATGTATGAAGAAAACTGATTATTAAAGAAAAAATTTCTTGGAGAAATTTTAAAGTAAGGCTGAATTTCTTTATTCATTCTGAACATTTGGAATAAACTTTTTTGTTTACTTATTCTTTAGAACGTTCCTGATGATATGTTAACGTATATTTCAAGCGTATTCTGTTTATTCCGGCTGTGAAATGGGATTATCCGGAATGTATAAAGAAACGCAGCCTAAATAATCCAGAGTTTTAGGATAAAGAACATACTTATTATTAGGGTTCGAAATCTCATGCAAATTTATGTTTTTACTGGTTATCTTCAAATGGAAATGGTTAAGTTAGCTTTACGAATCATTTCTCTAAAATGGCATTCAGTATGCATATTTTTAAATGCATGATTTTGCATGTTTTGCAAAAAATACCTGTTTTGGAATATTCATTGCGCATATTTTAGTATATTTTACAATAAATGCATATGGTTTTTTTGTTTTATTTTTTTTATTTTTTNTTTTGGAATATTCATTGCGCATATTTTAGTATATTTTACAATAAATGCATATGGTTTTTTTGTTTTATTTTTTTTATTTTTTAACTATTTAAATTCTGTGCGAAATCTCGTGACAAAAAACTACTTACTTTTTTCAAATATTCATCCGAATATCTTCTCGGATAACCAAGCGGCCATTGAGACATCTGAGAGGAGAGCGCTGACGAATTAGCAAGGTGCAGCTCAGCACTGAATGTGTCCCACGCAAAAACTACCGAAATATATCACTTGAAGGCCGGTTTTAAACTACGCAGCACCAGTGTGGTCGCCGGGGACTAGTAGGACGCAGTGGACGAAGCTACAGACTGTACAGAACACCGCACTCAGGACAGCGACAAGATGTGCCTCCTGATGTCGCCAGAACATCACCTCCACAACGAGGCACAAATGCTCCCCATAAAGGAGCACAACATAATGCTCTGCAAACAGTTTCTGATCGGGAGCCACAGAAGTGGCCACCCGAACAGACAGCTGCTTTCAGATGAGCCCTCGCCTAGGCACGTTAGGAGGCATCTATGTATATGAACTGACGGACGAAATCCAGAGGTTCGTCAAGCAGCCTCTGGACCCGTCAGCTTACCGACTGGCCCTGAACGGCATTCACAGGGCACACCACCACCGGACATAGACGAGTCGGAGATTCATCTGCCTCGGGAGACACGAACAACAATAGCCCAACTTCGCTCTGGTAGGTTAAACTCATACCTGAGTAGATTGAATGACGATGTGCAAATGAGTGTCCGGCATGCGGAGAGATCCCACATGACTCAAAACATCTCTTCGCATGCCCGGAAAACCCTACAACCCTAACGGCTTTGTCCTTGTGGACCGACCCGATAGAGGCTGCACGCTTCCTAGGGCTGCCGTTAGTGGAACTTGATGACAACGACTGAGATATCAACCGATCTGGGCGGGATTGTTGTAGCCGCTACAACAACAACAACAACAACTTGAAGGCTAAGCAGAATGTTTAAGAGTGCAACTGCCTCTCTGTATGACGTACTGAAATTCATTAAAGCCGCCAAATGGCTGTAGGTTGTACGAGTTGTGGAATAAAAATGGCAAACTTGCTAATTGTGCTTATCACCAGGGTGACAATCCACTTAAACCAACCAAACATTCATCTAAAGTGTCAATGTTTCTATTTTCATAAGATTGTAACTGTCTGCTTGATATTAATTAATGTTATACATAAATTTGTATTATTTTTTGATGTTAAAATACAAGGGTTATTTATTTCTTGTACCGGCAATTAAGTATGGAGCAAATGTTTTTAATTGCAT